TGTGCATTATGAGTTGTACAACCAATCCACTCGTTATTAGAGAGCCAGTAACTCTTTCCCCTCGATCAACTCTCTGTGTTACGTCACCAGCTACAACCCGCGCACATAAAGAACCTAACACATACATGCAGATAGTTCCAGCACAGACTCGCAGCACAAGCGTACGACTAACGCAAACACGCTCTACACAACTACCTGCAAAAATGTCGGTTGTGATTTACTTTGCTGTTGTTTTAGCAGCGATAGCATGGAACATGTATCTAGGTGAGTACGTTTGTAACGTCGCGTGTTTCAGTGTGTAGGCAGATTGAGTATAGAAGCTCCGTTATCATGTGAAATCTGAATTGAAGCATGCAAAGAGTGCATTATACTATCAAGAGCTAATAATATTATTAGTATTATTATTAGCTCTTGATACTATTAATGACAGTATTGTACGCGTAACTTTATTGCTTTATTGTTATTGTTACTTGTCATATTTATTTTTGTGTGCTTATAATTTAATTAGTAAATGCATTCTTTAATTTGTTCATTCATTCATTCATTCAATCATTGATACGTTTCCTTAATCTTTATTTCGTCATTATGTCATTCGCTGTTCTCGTGCTGTTTCAGGAGAGGCAACGACACTTTATTACATTGGATGCTTTAGGGATAATGTTGGCGACAAAGATTTCGAGACAGTCACTGCAATGCACGGCACCTTGACCCCGACCGTCTGCGCCGGTCACTGCACCGACCGTGGCTACATATTCATGGGTCTGGGAGCCGGAACGAATTGTAAATGCGGCATGGCATACGGAAAGCACGGACAGCTGCCACAGGCCGACTGTGACTATGTATGCGATGGTGATAACAGCCTGATATGCGGAGGTAGAATCCCGAAGTAGGTGTACAGAATTCACAAATGTAAGTAAAAACAGATCGACGTTAGTATAATAGAGATCAGTGCTGCCATGCTGGAAGATGTTTTTTCTCGGTTTGACGGCAGATGGCGCTTGTATCGCATTGGGGAAAGATGAGCACGAGCGATGTTTTGTTGGGGAAGTTTATAATAGTTTCCGTAAAAATACCGTAAAAACATTGCCGTGGTAATTTATGAGTACCTTTTCTTTGAGATAAATCGAATTATCAATTATTTCACCGGATAGCAACCGTTTCGACAACTGGTCAGGTTTTCGTTGTCTATCATGTTGTTAAGTTGTGAATAGTTACTCGTCTTTGTTACGATTTTTGTACTTCACATAGGTCCGTGTTTCAAATGCGTGCAATCCCAAGTATATTATATGCGTGACTGTATATATATATATATGTAAATAATTTAATTAACATGTCAATATGCGTAGGTTAATTGTCTAGAACTTGCTGATTGTTATGTGTATATAATTAAATAGAATTTTCATCATGCATAGCATGAGTGAATATTCTAAAGGGAACAACTAGCCAATATATTGTTCTCTTTAAATACAATTTTTTTAGCCAACCCTTACCACTTCCCTAACACCTAAAAACTTTCTATCATTTTTAATCTGAAGTAATTAGTATTGTGTTTGTATGTATATAGTATTTTAAATCGTGTATTAATGTATATCCGTCAGTCGGTAAACCTTTATATTTTAATTGTGGATGTGTTTAAGATATAAATGTTTTAAAAGTCACGTCTAACTCATTTTTTGTTTAATGGGCCCCATGTTCTCTATCCTTGAACCGATAAGGCAATAAGGCAAATTATGTGTGAAATCCGGTGCAAACCAAGGCGAGCTAATCCACGTGCTAGTAAGTAAACGAAAGTACTAGTAAGTAAACGAAATACAGACTAAGAACAAAACCGAAGCTATTTTTATTTGTAAAACAAGATATTTATTTTTTTCTGTATGACCGGTAACCTACTCTGCTCGGTGCATGGTCTGCATGCGATGCGCGCGCCCTCTCTTCCTCATCGCACAGATGACGCTGGCGATACGATTTATTTCATCAGATGGAACTGGGAGACGCAGGCGAGCGATGTACAGGGTGGGAGTCGCAGACGAGCGATGTACAGGGTGGGAGTCGCAGACGAGCGATGTACAGGGTAGGTGTGACTTCAGGCACGGCTCGAGTTGGAAGAACGACGAACATATATATACTGTGTGTAGAAATAGGCCGTCAGTGAACACAGCGCGATTATCCACGTGTCTCTAACACAACCTGTTTCACAAACTATGCGTTTTACGACGACGCGTTTAAATGTGTTTTAACAACGTGTTTTTTACACACAACTTGCCGAACAAACTATGCGGTTTTTTTTTAAACAACGTGTTTAGCTATGTGTTTTAACAACCTTTCCTTTCTTAAACGAATAAACAATCTGACCCAGTCGCTATGAGGAGGAAATGCTACGTACGAACGTGGAACAGTGCAGGTATGGATTCCACTGCCTAATGAGATAAAACATCGATACAGATATCAATACCAATACCAATACCAATAACAATACCAATATCAGCACCAATTTGTATACCGATACCAATACCAGTGTCAATATCAATACCGATACCAATACCAACACCGATATCAATATTAAATCGATTCAATGATCTTCATGTTGATATGCAAATGAAACGGCGATAATCATCATCAAGTCGTGATCATAAATAATTCCACGCGCGCTCAAAAATAAATATACGCTTACAGAAGAGAATGATAATAATAAATAATAAAGGTCACATGACGTCAGAGGTCAGTGAGTTAGCCGTGTATGAAGTCACGCTGGTCGTGTGCGGACATGGGCATATTTACAATAATGTTTTCGTGTTGAATATAGTGGCGCCATCTTGCTTACATAAATATTTTTTGTGTAAATGTTTTTGTTTTGTTTTTAAACATAATATCAAGAGTACATAATGGGAGATCATCCTATTACGTACTCTTGATAATATCAAGGAGCTGAGATTCTGTTAGCGCGTGTGTTGAAAGCGAAATGTTTCGAAGCTGACATCTTTATCTGATCAACGCCGTCTGGTGATGAGGTGATGGTTTACATGTGTCGTTGTGCACCGAAGTTCTGTCCTGCCTGCGTGGCTCCCTTGTTCTGGCCAGCCTGGAGACCAACGTGTCCTGGGGAGCGGAAAATCCTTTTATTTATGGAAATAACTTGAAATAATAATAATAAACGCTATAATACGTACTCATACGGCGTTAGTAAGCACACGACTTAACTATTCGCGTAAAAAAATTGACAGATCAACACTGCGGGTCGCAGCAGAGTTTCTATGTATACCTCTAGTGAAATTATTGTTTAAACAAGGGGAGGGGCGTAATCAATGGCTCAATGACAGTATCATATAGAACCATGCAAGCTAGCTCTGGTATAATTGCTCGCTGTGTGTGTGCTGCAACTAGGCGCAGTTGTTGCCACTCTAGATCCAATATGGCAGACTAACTATTGGCGATGTGGCGATTAACTGCACCAACATGGCCGGAAAGCAATGTTAACGAGCAGCAGAGCATGCGCGAGACTCGCAACACACCCGCGACCAAACTCCACGACAGGTGGCGCTCTCGCTCAATGGCTCAATCTACCGGGTAATGCTATCCCACGGGCGTGGAGGGAGGTGACCGCAATGTGGCAGCACTAGTGTTAGGACAGTGTTAGGATTAGGGTTAGGGTCAGGGTTATCCTGAGTGTACGAAGGGCCGCTGTATGCAGTTTGACCCGCGACATTACCAACGTTGCCATGTGCGCCCGCGCGTCTCCGTTGCTACGTGCACTGTGGCGCCACCTGCTGCCGATACCGCGCGACTACTCACCCTCTCCGGCTCTCAGCTGCTCCGCGGTGAACTCCCTCTTGTTTTCCTCGGACATCTTTGGGCCGATGATGGGGAAGTTGTATCCGGGCTTGGTCTGACCCTGCCGAAAGCAATGACACACACACGCGACATGAGATTCACCGTGTGTCAGGAAAGAGAACGATGATAACGCGTGCTAATAAAGCTTATCTCTGTTAGATCCAAATTAAGTTACAAATAACTTACACTGACGACTTTATTAGCATGTGAACTATAGAGATCCGGTGAAATTATTCAATCATCGATGATAACACATGCATGTTTAAATTCCGTGTAGGCCTATAAACCCATGTCTGGGAGAGAGAGCGAGAGCAAGAGAGAGAGAGAGAGAAAGAGAGCAAAAGAAAGAGAAGCAAGAGCAAAACAAATACAGAGAACGAAAGCAAGGATAAAGGAAATTGACGGGGTGAGTGCGAAAAAACTAGAGCAAACTCAAGAGAGCGAGAGAGAGAGAGAGAGAGAGAGAGAAAGCAACATATTGAAAGAGAGAATGAGAAAGATAGAGAGAGAGTAAGAGATTGAAAGAAAGAATGAGAGGGAAAGAGAGAGAGTAAGAGATTGAAAGAAAGAATGAGAGGGAAAGAGAGAGAGTAAGAGATTGAAAGAAAGAATGAGAGAGAGAGAGAGAGAGAGAGAGAGAGAGAGAGAGAGTAAGAGATTGATAGAGAGAATGAGAGCGAGAGAGAGAGAGATAGTAAGAGATTGAAAGAGAGAATGAGAGAGAGAGAGAGAGAGAGAGAGAGAGAGAGAGAGAGAGAGAGAGAGAGAGAGAGAGAGAGAGAGAGAGAGAGAGAGAGAGAGAGAGAGAGAGTAACAGATTGAAAGAGAGAGAGAGCGGGAGAGTAAGACACAAAGGCTCTTGATCGTTACATACCACGCCTGTCAGTCGTCTTGCCTCCCCCGCCGCCGGGCTCCAGCGTCGGCGCTCGCTTTGCCGTGCCAACGGCAAAGATGCACTGCTGCACTTGAGCGATGTTCCTCTTTTCCCACAGGTCAACGGTCTGCGAACAAGAGAACACTCGTCAATCTTAGAATAACGTCGCCGAATCAATCTAAAATATTTTCGAAACAAACACAAAAGTTGTTTGTAACAAACGTCAATCGAGAGCACTCGTCAATTCACCTACAGATGGCGACACACTCGCGCAGTGCTTAGACTGGCGATCGACGACACACACTCGCGTTGATGCGCACCTGGAAGCAGTCGATCTCGGGCACGCCGTACTTCTTGGCGCAGTCTGCGGAAGTTAGTGATGTTCTCCGCATCATCTTGAGTCGCCGCCGCTCTGCTGTGATCGTTCCTTCACGGACCCGGCAACAGCTTGTTCATTGCCGAGCTGCAATGAATGGCTAACAACATCACACAACTGCTGTACACGTGATGCTGCTATAGCAATACTTGGCTACGCATCAACCAATTGTTATAGGCACGTAGCTGTAATACCCACAGAATCGCTACAGTGAAAACGTTCACAGCAACTGCTACACATCACACAACTGCTACACGTAGCTGCTACAAACTACTGCTACGCATCATATAACTACTACGCGTAGCTGCTACACATAACTGCTACACATCACACAACTGCTACACGTAGCTGTTACACATTACTGTAATGTAGTAATGTATAGTAGAACTTACTTGCACAACACGACTCCGTTTCTCGCCCAGTCCTCGAACGATCCCTGCACGGGTTCGCCGATGATCGTGGAGATCCACTCAGCGGCCTCGGCCTCCTTCTCCGCATCTCTCTTGCCGGCGATCTGCGCCAATCAAAAATCTTTTATGAACAAATCTTTTAAGTGATATCTATGTCTTACCATGGGACATATATTATTGTCAATCTCATCAATTTCAGTTTTACACTGCCTGATTGATATCGTGTTTGCTAAACTTATTTTAATTGTAACGTTGTAAATACTAGTTTTGCAATAAACCTATTATCTATCTATCTATCTATATTAACAAAATTGATCGTAAAATATTTGCGAAAGACCAAAAGTCTGGATAGTATTCGATTGCCAACTGTGTTGCTCTCATCCGCAATCTGCACCAATCGGAAAACTTTTGACCGCCAATATTTTAGCGATTGCCGTACGGTTATGACATACTATTTTTCATATCCGATAAATTCGTATTTAGTATTTAGTATTTAGAAATCGATCACACCCAAATTAACTTCCGAATTCTCTCGCCATTCGACGCGGCACCCCCCGGTGGGCGCTCGCACGCGCCTCTGCTAGCGTGTGTTTCTTCTAGAACGGATCCCATCTTTCGCGATGTCTAGATGCGCATCCGCGCAAAGACAAAAACCTTGGGAACGATGCCATCAATTAATCAACAAGAAAAACCAGCGAGAAATGCGGCAGCGCCTGAATAGCGAATAGAAAACAAATTGCCCGTCACCACCCAGCCGCGAGTTTATTTTCGGAGTTTTGGAATGTTATGTTCAGCGCTGACGGCCGCTGCTCTGCAATGACGAAACAGCTAGGGCGCAGTTGCCGCTTAGCCATAGCGAGGCAGCAGTAATATCAGCAGCAGTAACAGCAGTGGCCGCAGCAGCAGTAGCAGCAGTAGCAGTAGCAGGAACAGTAGCAGCAGCAGCAGTAGCAGGAACAGTAGCAGCCGCAGCAACAGCTAGGGCGCAGTTGCCGCTTAGCCATAGTGAAGCAGCAGTAATATCAGCAGCAGTAAAAGCAGTGGCCGCAGCAGCAGTGGCAGGAACAGTAGCAGCAGCAGCAGTAGCAGGAACAGTAGCAGCAGCAGCAACAGCTAGGGCGCAGTTGCCGCTTAGCCATAGCGAGGCAGCAGTAATATCAGCAGCAGTAACAGCAGTGGCCGCAGCAGCAGTGGCAGGAACAGTAGCAGCAGCAGCAGTAGCAGGAACAGTAGCAGCCGCAGCAACAGCTAGGGCGCAGTTGCCGCTTAGCCATAGCGAGGCAGCAGTAATATCAGCA